TACTTCTCCAAATGCTAGTCCTTTATGATCTGGTTTATATTACTTTTGCCGATAGCATTTAAGTATAAAACAGCCGTTACTTCGAAGAAAACCATATAACTGATCTTTTTCATGTTTGATTTCACAAATAGGATATATTTCATATGATTTCGCTTGAAAGTTAACAAATCCCTTTCTAATATTGCCAATTTCAAGCCACTCATATTTTGCTGTAACTAAACCAGCTCTCTTGCTTAAGGCGGTTTCATCTTCGATAGGTTTGAATTTCTTTTTTTCTGACTTTTTAGAAGAAAAGCTTCGAGGCCAGATTTCAGAACAATAAAATTTGGGTTGAACTAAATAATCCTCTAGTTTGCACATTCGGTTCTTGACTGAAGAAATCGCAGGTCTTTTGATTCTATCTCCCTTTGCTGATCCAAGAAGTCGAAGACTAAAACGTGATTTATAAAGTGTGAGATCGATAAATTCAGAGTATGGTTTTCCAACCCTATCAGCGACTTTTTTCACAAAATTCCTAAGATCTCTATAATCAATAAAATAAGCCAAAGGATATATGATATGCCAACTGCATTTATCATCATTAAATGAACTAGCTAAAGCAAAATTATTTAAAGTTATAAGATGTTTTAAATCAGAATATATGATATCAGCGCAGGCAATTAAGATTCTGAATAATAAATCATTACGAGAAATTTTATATTTATCTAAGGAAGGGAGTTCAGGATTCATGGGATCGGGCTTCTGCCTTGCATCAATATCAAGAACAAAATGAAGAGGCAAATTCCCATCAATACATTCATGGGCATCAGGAAATCCATAAACTTCAGATGGGTGATCGATTAGTGTAAAGCCTGATTCTGCCACCCGAATGATATATTTATTAAAAATCTCTTCAGGATGATAAGCGCCTAAAAGAGCGATACTATCTTTACTATTAGTTTCCAATAAATGTTAAAAATATGTATGATCGATATAGCCCAGCTCATAATCAAGGTCCGTTACACCTGAGAAGAGCCTTATTGCTTCATTTATTTCTTCAAGATTAGGTTTGAAATTTTTTTGTGCAAGAAGCATGGTGTATATGCAAGCAAGCAGTATAAAATAACAGAGAAACTAGCAAAGTTCAAAATAAAAATTTTATATAATTTTGAGCGAATATGTTTACTAGTAAAATACTGGGTCAGTGTTAGTACTCAGCGCCAAGCCGAAAGAAAGTAATCAATAAAATAATGCCTAAAAGTAATTGATGTAGTAGTACCCCAAAGTATCCTAGAGTAGTAGCTATACAAGAAAGAGTTTTAAGAATGCGAGAGCGTAAAATAAGATATAAATTTGATAGTATACTAAAGTAGAATAATATATAGGAAAGAAATAAGAAGTTATGCTTTGGTGTACTATCGGCAATAGGCAGAAAAGAGATCGGGAAGGCAGAAAGATTCAGGAAAATATATGAAAAAAGGTATGAAAGCAATATAGCCTGAACTAATTTGACACTTTGTGCCTCATCCTCAGCAAACAAATAGGCTATAAAGGCAGGATTGCAAGAATAGCACAACACCAATACTTTGCATGTGCCTCACCGGCAATCAAAAAGTGGGTGAATAGATTGCAACACATCTTTAGCAAATAGATGGATTGCAAATTCGGCACTTCATGCCTCAACCGATAATCAAAAAATGGCAATTGAGAGAGAAGCAACTATGTGAGGGTGTTCTGATACCAGAACAGTATCATGTGACTATAACGCAATAAGACACAGTATTAATTTGCTTATTTTCGGCTAACACTATTCCAGATCATCTAGAAGGATTTCTCACATATCATTCGAAATTTTCGAAGCGCTCTGATCGTTAACACTGTTAACGGAGTTCTCAATTCAGTACTCCAATTTATGATCATTTATAAAACGAATGTATTAGAAAGAAAAACGTTTTCATGTTTATTCCGAAGAAAATGCTTTCTATGATAGTAAATCAAAAATTATTAATGGGAACACAATCTATCAGGAATGCGGTATAGCCATTTGTTTCTCGTGTGATCAATCCTGAATTTACTGCGCCACTTAACGTGATATAGGTGATCCAAAACTGGCAAACTAATAGAACCACTCTAGTTCCCTTCCAGTTCTATAACAGCTCCAGGATACTACCAGGTCGCTACCATAGCGTCAAGTTGAAACCTCAAATTATGTATCCAAAAGATCAGCCAAAATTATGGTATAATGTCAGCCAAATCAATCCTGAATTTACTGCATCACCTGACACGATTTTTTTACATTATTTCAGCAACTTAAAAGGTCAGCAAATGGGTCACACCTTCGACTTCAAATATGACAACCAAAAGGGTTATAGAGTAGAAAAACCAACTTTATTCTTATACAATCGTTAAAAAGCTCCAGAATGAAAAAACAAACCTCTGCCCTATTTAGCGACCAAACAGTCATAGACCAGTGAAAACAGATGGATAGCAATAAATCATCAGAAGGGGCATAGACACGTAAAAACAAGCAAGTAGGCATCAATATCTATAAGTAGGTATCACTATCGCGTAAGTAGATAGATTAAGTAGACATCACTATATATATAGTGATGTCTACTTAATCTATCTACTTATTTAGTTTAGTAGTTCATTTAATAATATTAGAAAAGTTTATATTTAAAAAATTTGAAGATACAGAAGAATCTTTTTATTACTTAATAGTAATAAATTTAACATTAAATATAATTCCAATTTTTCTATTAATAAAAGAATAAAAAATATTAATTATTTATAAGTTTATCAATATATTAATGATTTTATAAAAATATTTATTTTTTTAAATAATTTTTAAAATTTTTTAAATTTTATATATTATTTATTAGTAATTTTATTTGTATATAAATATATTGTAAATGAATTATATAATATAACTAATATTAATATTACTTTTACCAACATTAAAAAATTAAAAAAATTACCTATATGATAACAATGTGATAGATAAGATATGATAATTAAGAAATTTTTATCAAAAATTAAAAAACTAAAGACAGAAAGATGTGATACTATGATAAATTTATATTATATGATACATATACATATACTTTGTATAAATTTATAAATTTTTTTACTTATATTTATTTTTAAAAATTTGTATATATTTTTAAATAAAAATGAAAGAATAAATATATATAAACTGTTAAATTACATTTTTTATATTATTTTATTATAATAATAAGAGAAAAGCAATTTAAAATTCTAATCATAAAAAGGTAATTTTAAAATATTTTTTAAGTGTAAACTTATAAGATTATTTTTTATAAAATAAAATAAAAAAAATTAATAATATTACTTAAGTCAATATTGAAAGAATTTTCCAATATATTTATTAAAATATTTTTAGGCTTCTGTTTCTTATAAAATAAAAAAATAAAGAAATATTAAAATATTTTTTAAAATTAATGCTAAAAGAACTTTTTACAAATGATATTTTAAGACTTCTATTTTTACAAAATAAAAAAAAGAAATATTTAAAAATGTTTCTTAAAATTAGTATCAAAAAAACCTTCTTAATATACTTATTATAACTTTTTGTTTTCTGAAAAAAGAAATGTTAAAAATATCTCTTAAGAAATGCTAAAAGAACTTTTTTTAATGGCTTTATAAAAATATTTTTAAAGCTTTTATTTTTATAAAATAAAGAAAAAAGAAAAAATTAAGAACTATTCTTAAAGTTTTTGCAAAAAAACTTTTTTAATATATTTATCAAAATATTTTCAAAATTCTGTTCTTTATAAATTAAAGAAAAAAAGAAACATTTAAAATGTTTCTTAAACCATTGTTAAAAGAATCCTTTAATTACTTTATAAGAATATTTTTAAGACTTCTATTTCTTAAAAATAAAAAAAAGAAATATCAAGAATATGTTTTAAAGCTAATATCAAAGGAATTTTTCTATTAAAACATTTTTAAGACTTTTATTTTTAACAAAATAAAAAAAAATTTCTAAGGCTTTTATTTAATATAATAAATAAAAAAAACTTTAAAAATGTTTCTTAAGTAAATGTAAAAAAAACTTTACTTATAAAGTTATTTTAAAGCTTTTATTTTCTTATAAAATAAAGAAAAATATTAATAATTTTTTTAAAAGCAAAATTTTTTTTAGAAAAAACCTTAATCCAATAAAATTTGATTACTATAATACATTAAAAAAAAATGTCTGTTATTAAAAATTAATTTTCTTTTCCTTAGTTTTCTTTTTCTTTAATAATTTTAGTATTTTTAAAATTTTTTTTTATAGTATTTATTTACTTTTGATCTAATTTTACATATTTCTGATATCTATAAAAATATTAATAAAATTAGATTTTTAGATTTTAAAAACAAATTATTTTCTAAATATATAAAATAAATGAAATTATTAAAATTAATCCTATTTATATAATAATTTTTTAAAAGTTAATTTTAGTAATAATAGATTAATCTTTTGAAAGTAATAATATTTTAAATTAATATCACTTTAAAAGTTACAACTTTAAATAAGTTTAAAATAGATTTATAATTAAAATAGTAATAAATTTTATTGGTTTATTATATCTTTTCTCAAAATTTGATTTACTAATTATACCTTCAAATGATTATTCTTAAAAAGACTAATCAATAAAATAATAATATTATATTTGTTATTAATATCTTTAAGCATTTATAAAATTATTAAATAGTATATGATTACTATCTGATACTACTTAATTTATAAATTTATTTATATATATAATTAATTCTTTATTATATTTATACTTCAAATTTAATAATAATTTTTGAAACTTTTCATAATTAATATTATATAATGTAATATTTTATTTATATTTATTTATGAATAATTACCTTAAATTTGTAAAAATTAAAATAATAAATAAAGTTTAAAGTTTATTTCAAATCTTTAAAACTCGTGTAACGTGAACATTATCATACAGTAAAAAACAAATTTTTCGTTTAACGAAGTCAAAGAATTCTGTGAGAAAATGGAAGAAGTAAAGACACAAGTTATATTGGAAAATACCAATTTGATTACCAATTCATTTACTATTTCCAATTCTACCTCAAAAAAGAAGAAGAAGAAAACTACTTCCAATGAAAAGATTAGTGAAACAGGTACTGTATCCAAAGCTTTCTTATGATGCTTTTGGCGTGTTTATTAAAGTTTAGGATGAACCATGTCAACTTTTGATACAATTAAGTGAAGGATGAATCTGATAAAGATCCTCTAATACAACAAATTAATAATGGCAAAGCGGAGTTGAAAACTGTTGAAGACGACGAAGAGGAGGAAGAGGGAGAAGTGAACGGTTCTGAAGGTAAACAAAAAATCAAATAATTACAATTATGTTTTGTAAAAGGATATTATTTATTCAAATTTATACAGTTACAAAAAAAAAAAAAAAGAAAAAAAAGAAAAAGAAATCCGGTAATGGAAAAATAATTCAACAAACCGAACCACCTTCAATTCCGGTTAGCAAATTTTTTCCTGACGGTAAATATCCAGAGGGAGAAATATGTGAATATAAAAATGAGTAAGTAACATTTAAATGTCGTTCTTTAGTAACGTTAATTCATTTTATTTACATCAAATCGCGTATTTTCTTTTAGTAACTTGCAAAGGATAACAAATGAAGAGAAAAGATATCTTGATAGAATGCACTATGAAAACTATAATGAACTTCGACGCGCTGCCGAAGTGCACAGACAGGTTGGTTTATTTTAAAATTGTCAAAGTATAACCAATATTAATTCTTTTTTATATTATTTATTTAGGTAAGAAAATATGCTCAAAAAACTATTAAGCCGGGTATGACAATGATTGAGATTTGCGAGTCAATTGAGAACGGAACTCGTACATTGATAGAGGAGAATGGTTTAGAAGCTGGTAATTATTCATTTTCATTTTGAGTAACCCGTCAGAAGACATTAGTAATTATAGCCAGAGGCGAATCTCCTTTGAATTGTTCCCGTTTGCAACACTCTGTGGTTATCCTTTAGTTTTCAATGGATAAGAACAATTTTTCTGCAAACAATATTAAATTTAATACCTTATTACTCACCATCAATCTTTAATTTTCTCTCGAGTTGATGGTCTATCCAAAAGGAAACATTTGTATTTAATAATATGAAAAATATTTTCTGATATATAGGTATCGGCTTTCCAACTGGATGTTCACTGAATCACTGCGCGGCTCATTACACGCCGAATTCGGGTGATAAAACTGTCCTCCAATATGATGATGTTTGTAAAATTGATTTTGGAACACATGTCAATGGTAAATGGATAATGTATGTAATGTAATGAAATTTCATATAAAGTAACAAATAAATTTATTGTAAAAAAAAAAGGTCGCATAATAGATTCCGCATTTACTCTCACTTTTAACCCAGTTTACGATAAGCTTAAGGAAGCAGTCAAAGATGCAACAAATACCGGAATTCGAGAAGCTGGCATCGACGTAAGATTATGTGATATTGGAGCTGCTATTCAAGAAGGTGAAGTTATATAAGTTTCCCTAATAATCATTTCTTTGATGTTTGGCTAATTCTGTGTGTTTTATTAGTCATGGAAAGCTATGAGGTAGAAATCAATGGAAAGACTCATCAAGGTATGAAATATCTTTTATGTTAACATCTATATTCATCTTAAAATTGACTACACAAATTACGTACCAATATTTAGTTAAACCAATTCGTAATCTGAATGGCCACTCTATACGTCCATATCAGATTCACGCAGGAAAATCTGTGCCAATTGTGAAAGGGGGTGATCAAACTAAAATGGAGGTAAGTTACGAAAAAAAAACATACATTAATTCTTCAAGAGAATTCCAACGTTCCTAATTATTTCATTTCTCTGAACAGGAGGGAGAAAGTTTTGCTATCGAGACCTTTGGTAGTACTGGAAAAGGTTATGTTCATGAAGATGGTGAATGCAGTCATTACGCGAAACGGCATGATATTGGGCACGTACCTCTACGGTAATTTGTAATAATTTTTCTTTTTTTTTTAAAAAAAAATTCTTAAATCATTGACTTTCATTAATTTCGTTTTAAAAGAGTTACCAAGGCGAAATCTTTGTTAAATAGTATTAACAAACATTTTGGTACATTGCCGTTTTGTCGCCGTTACCTTGATCGCGTTGGTGAAACAAAATACATACTTGCGTTGAAGAATTTAGTTGATTCTGGAATTGTGGAATCCTATCCACCATTGGTTGATATTAAGGGATCATATACAGCACAATTTGAACATACCTTAATTTTGAGACCTACTTGCAAAGAAGTATGTATTTTAATTATAATACTAATAAAATATATATATTCAATGTTTCGTGCTAATTTTATTAATTTGCTTGGTTAGGTTGTTAGTCGTGGGGAAGATTATTAATATTTATAATATTTTAAAAATTAAAATTATTTTTTTTTTTCGGTAATTTATCTTACTAGCAATAAAGAAATAAATATATTTAAATTTTTTTTACTGTAATCAATTTCTGAAGATGTACAAACGCATGTTCCGAAAAAAAACATTGATGAAATGAGTTAACCATCAAGTGGATGAGATGCGTTTATAATAAATTTTTATATACCACTTTCAGGACATGAAATGACATTTAATACAGAATCATTCCACGTTTTTTGAAGCGGATTTTATTTACGATTCATTAACAAATTCATTTTGATTGAGTATTAATAACAAAGATAAATTTATTTCCCTGATCAATTTTTTTGCTCGATTAAATATATCTTTTTATTAAAAAAAAAATCAAGAATTTTTCATGATTTACATATAAAACCATTATTATAATTCCTTTAGTCGAAGAGACCTAAACAAAGAAACAATGATAATTGAATATTTTTATTTTATTTTTCTGAAAAGAAATCAATAACAATTATGATAATTACCGAAACCCATATCATCATCAGATTCTTCTTTCTCTTCCTCGGCGGGTTTCTTTTCTTCTACTTTTTCTTCAGCCGCACCACCTCCAGCTGCTACACCACCACCACCACCAACGGCAGGACCACCTGCACCGGCTAAAATAATTATTTGGGATTTTAAAGCATTTTTAATATTTTCGCGATCAAAAATTTTTAATCAGATTTTTTTTTTTTCTTGGTGACAAATACTTACGAGTACCAACATTCATTATTAAATCACTGATATTTTTTCCTTCGAGGGCTTTAGCGAACAAAGTCGCCCAAACTGGTTCAGCATCAATACCAGCTGCCTTTGTTAAAGTTTGTAATTTATCAGCCTAAAATGAAAAAAATAAAAATAAAAAGAATTGATTTTAGAGATATTCATTTTTTTTAAAATAAAAAAGAAAATATAAAATAATTTTCCACATATTTATTTAATTCTGTGACTTATAATAATTCCCTTGTCCAAAACCTTCAAATAATGATAATGAAAAAAGAAAATATTACATACAGTAATCTCAACCCCGTCGTCACTGAGGATGAGTGCAGCATAAACAGTTCCAAGTTCAGAGGTAGAAGCCATTTTTTTTTCTTTTGTTAAATTTGATGGATTGAGATAATTCGTGTGCGCAAGTAACGATTTAACTCACAGAGGAGATACAATACGCTTAACACGAATGTATATGAATTGAGAAGTAAAAAAATTGATTTAAAAATTTTTTTTTTTAAATTTATATCCAATTACATAAGATTCACATGCCAATCTATTTAATCCAATTGGTTAACATCGATCTAAACCTTTCAAACTGAAAATATTCAAAATTCATGAATTTAATTTAATTGGTAATATTATTTAAGCTTTAAACTTAATACTTTATTATTAAAATACCAATAGTTTTATTAATGTTAGTAAAAAAATAATTCTCTTAATTCTTTATATGAAAGCTTATCTAATAAATAATAGGAAGGGATTAGTTAGATCAGATATCATGAAAGTTTAAATAAATGAAATATTTTACCTTTTACATACATGTATTGCTATTTCTTTTTATTATAAAAAACCAGTATTGTTGTTTTATATACCAGAATTTGAAGTTTAAAGTATGCGATTTGTAATTATTGAAGCAATTCATGATGTTATAAACCAAATCCTTTCAACAAATATTTTTAGTACATGTTACTTTAGTCAATGTTATTCATATTTATATAACTCTACGACGATCCAGAATGGTTTATTAAGGCAGGTTGTTTATAAAGGGAAGAAATCTTTTGGCAGATGTAATGAGAAGGTTGCGCTACTAAAATGAAAATTGAGCCTTAGTGCACGCCGAAAACATGACACTCAAACAACTTAAAAAATGAGAAATCTTTAAACCGAGAAAAAAATTCCGATATAAATGGATTTTAAATATTAAGTTAGCTTATGAATTTTAATAAATTAACTCATTTAAGATTCATTAGAATTTATTACATAAAATACTTGATATTATAAATGATATAATATTTTCATGTTATATAAAATATTTGTTGATATTAAATTAATTATTATCTAAAATAAATATTATCTTTGATATACTATAAATTAATTTATTAATCAAATCTTACCGCATTGACAAATTTTGATAAATCACGTGATTTAATTTGTAAACTATAATGCTTCATTTCTTTTTTTAGTCTATGCTTCCACATTCTAGATTACCCTTTAATAGGTAAACTAGGGATCCGAATATACTCCGAAATCCGTAATATTGGAACCTTACGTTTTTAAATTTCTATTAAAATATGAATTGTTTTAGCTAATTTTAATCACACTGTTTTTTAAAACTCATTATTTTCTATAAAGAGAAATAACTTTTTATTATTATTTAACTTCATTTGACACGATAATGAAATCTTTAGTATAATAATATAAATAACAAAACCTTTTTAACCAATCAGAAATAACCGATTTGATCGAAATTCTTTTTTAATATAAAAGACACTTCTTACAATTGATCGGAATAACCTATGAAATAATACAGAAGATTTTTATTCTTTTTTTAGTTTAGTTGCATTTTGTTCTTTTAAAACTTATTTGGCAGATGCACCATTTAAATTAAAAAAAAAGAAAATCTCTTGTTAAACATGATGATGAAAAATTCACTGGATATCCTTCAAGTCGAATGTTATATTGTACGACTCCTCTGAAAATATGATTAAATATATAAAGTTGTTTGTTTTACTTTATACCCTTTCAATTTCCTTCATACTTCCTTGATACTTCGTTGGTAATTCCTTTCATTTTATTCTCTCTCTCCATTTCTTATCATCCTTTCCTTTATCTTACCTACCATCGAAGTCACTCTTTTCGTTTGTTGTATAATTATTCTTCTTTTTTTTTTTTTAAAAAAAAAAAATCCCTTATAATAATACCGCATACGAAAATAATAAGAACAACAGCGAGTAAAAAAAGTATGAAGAGTTTATATACAAACCTCTTCCCTCTTTTAGCAGCGGCTAGTTTGGTAGCTGGCCAAACTGCAAAACTTGGTCAATGGGATTTCGTTGGTCACTCTGGAGTGTCCACTATGCATGGTATCCTTTCTCCTGGTACAAACAAAGTGTTGTTCATTGAACGTGTAGAGTTGGCTACCGAAGTTACAATCAATGGTAAACCAACCTATACAGTAGAATATGACCTTGACACAAATACAATAAGACCTTTGACCACCATATCAAACACCTTTTGCTCGGCCGGAGGTTATTTAATGAACGGAGTAAGTTATTATTATTTTTCTTCATTTTTTAAAATAAAATTTTATGTATAATCTTATCTGATTTTCGACTTTTTCGACCTTTAGACTGTGATGAATTTAGGTGGTGCTGAATCTGCTCAAGAAGTTAATCAGGGGTTTAACAAAATTCGAACTTTCGAACCATGTAACGACGGAAAATGTGATTGGATGGCAAATAATATTGACCTTTCAGTACTTCGTTGGTATCCATCCGTTGAACAACTGGCTGATGGTACTTTGTTTATTCTTGGTGGTGCTAATAAAGGTGTAGCTGTTAATGATCCTTACACGAATGTGCCTAGCTACGAACTTTTTCCACCAAGAGGAAAAGGTGGTTCGTACCCCATTGATTTTTTGACGGAAACTTTGCCATATAATTTATATCCTAGTGTTCATCTTCTTCCTGACTCAAACCTTTTCATTATGGCAAATACAAAATCAATTATTTTTGACACAAAAACCTTCACAAAGAAAACTGATTTACCGGAAATCCCAGGACCTCCAAGACATTATCCTTTAACTGGAGGGTCTATTATCTTGCCATTAGATCCTGCAAATAATTATGAACCGGAAATTCTTGTTTGTGGTGGGGCTGATCAACTTACAGCAAATGCTAAGGGGGAAAATACTTGTGGGCGTATTAGACCATTATCTAAAAATCCAACTTGGGATATGGAAGAAATGCCATTTGGTCGTTTAATGCCTGATATTGCTTTGTTATCTAACGGTGATGTCATGATTCTTAATGGATGTTTAAAGGGTACCGCTGGTTTCGGTAAAGGCACAGATCCTGTACTTACCCCAATTATGTATAATCCATCTGCAAAGAAAGGTGCTCGCATGACTCAATTACAACCTTCTTATATTCCACGAATGTACCATTCTATCGCTTTCACTGTTCCTTCAGGTCAATTGTTAGTTTCTGGATCGAATCCAAATAAGAATCCAACAGGAGAAGGTCCCTATCCAACTGATTTTCGTGTTGAACTTTTCACGGCACCCTTCCATTTCACAGGTCAACCACAACCATGGATTAAACAAGCCCCCGCCGAGATAAAATATGGTCAAACTTTTGAAATTGAACTTGTAACCTATTCCGAAGAACCTAAAGTTTTTGTCAATATTTTGAATTCCGGATTCGTTACACATTCAACTCATATGTCCCAACGTCAAATCTGGTTAGAATCTGAACTTAAGGCTGATAAATTATCTTTGAAAGCTCCACCAAATGGTGGCGTTGCTCCACCTGGTCCTTATTTAATGTTCGTTGTAGATAATGGTGTTCCTTCAAAGGCTGTTTGGATTATGCTTGGTGGTAAATAAATAAGTTATAATCAAAAGTTATGACCAAAAGTAATTTATATAATAAAAATCGTGGATTTAAAATAATATGGTTTAGGGATAAAAAATGAGTTGGCATTATTATAATTAAAAATAGTGTATGTATAATTCCCTTTTTTTTTTTGTTTAATATTTCTTATATAATTTGTAATTCAATTTGCATTTACAAAAAGAGAATTTGTTTGCTTGGTCGGCAACATCAATCGGCAACAAAAATCACAATACATTTCTTTCTGTTTAATTTCGTCACAATTTGTTTTATATTGTCTATACGTTTATTAGAAATTTGTAATTTTATGTTTTTTTATAAATAATTTATAAAATTTATATTTAAAATGCTGAATTTGCGTGCGTTTTAAATTTATTCTTATTGTAGTCCACCTTTCCTTTTAATTAATTAGTAAATTCTGGAAAATTTCAGTCCCGTATCTGTCCAAGGTCATCGAAACTCTAATGCCTGGTCAACAGAAGACTTGTTTGATATATGGTTCACTTTATAAAGTAATGACCTCTCCAATGAAATCAATTTAGATTTCACTAGAGTGCCTTGAACCAAAAAGAAAGTGGTGATTTCAATAAGTTTGATAAGGATTTTTCTTAGAATTTTTGTTTTACTTTATTATATGTAAAAAACAAAAAACAAATACAAAGCACATAAAATGAAGGAATGAAATACTAGTTAGTAAAAAAAGAAAAAAAAATTAAAAAATAAAAAAAAAATGACATCAAGTAATATAATTAACAAATCCTAATTATGAGACACTCTTACGCTTCCATTCATCGTACAGTTTCATGCATTGAAAATTCAACTGTTTTAAATGGAATATCATCATCAGAATCGTCTTCATAGAAAAGCGGGCTAAAAGAAAATTGTTGAGAGATTATCGGCTTGATTTCGTAAATTGAAATAGAGAAAGTAAAAATACACACAGTTTTTGGGAAAATACTTTAATCTGCCGTATATGTGTGTCTTTCCCGTTTTGATGATTTGACTTGATGGCTATTTGGAAAAGATGTGCTCCTACCGGACGACTTGTCCTACTACATAAATTATATATCCATAAATTATTAAAAAAAATTGAATTAATAAAAATATAAAATAAAAATAATAATAAATATATAATGATATTATTAATACCTTAATACTTCATCTCCACTGAGCTGTATATCCACCCACCTTTGTGGTTCATCAAGTTCAACAGTTCTCAAATCCTTATTAAAGGTCAAATATTTCAAATTAATATATATATATATATATATTTGTTGCAATGAAATCCATTGATTTACCTGAAGATCTCCATTATGAGTACCGGCTCTAATAGTTATTTTATTGGGTGTATAACTTTCATCATTTTTGAAATCAAGCCAAAGTGATATTTGCTAATTGTTATCGAAAATAAAATAAAAGTATAAGAATAATAATAATAATAATAAAAAACAAGGGATTACATTACATCTTTTGTATCATAAACTCTAAGTGGGAATGAGAATCTTAATTCTTACCACGACATTGACTTTCTGTGGAAATTGGATACTAACAATGTGTGGTAAAATACCATCCGATCTAAATAAAACAAAATAAAATGGAAACGCGTATGATCACAGCCCTAACGAATCAATGATAAATTTTCAAACGTACTGCCAATATGTCAAGAAATTATCATCACGCAATTTATCTACACCATTACCAGGTTTCCAACTTGATAGTGACCAAATTGCCGATGAACCGATTTCGCGTAATTCTTTTTTATAATATTATTTAATTAATAATAAAATCAGGGTATTTACACGTAAAATTAACTTTATAAAACGCGATTTTACCTTCGTGTTTGAATTCACTTTTTATAACTTTTTGCTCTCTTTTTTGAGAGTATGCATTTTCATCATCGTCAACAAGATCTGCCATATCTTCCTCTTCTTCGTCTGCGTCTTGCATGTTGTTTAAATCGTTCATAATATATTCTGTCATTTTTTTTTTAAAAAAAAAAAAATAGAAGAAAAAATGATAACGATAGATCGTCAATAAACTTATGCAACATCAGAGGGGTGTTATTACTAGGAGGATCATCGTCACACATTTTTACCATAATTATTCAAAAAGCCAAGAAAAAAGATTCATATAAATATTTACTCTAAAAAATTTAACACCGCATATATTAGGACCGTACCGTTACCAGGTGTTCGTTGCCAATAATTGCTTAGCAAATCAACGAATTTATTTCCAATCCAATTGAAAAATATTATGAGAATTCAGGAAATAATCAAGCTGTAACGTTATAGTTAAAAATTTTGTCGAATGATTTGGCGAATGCAAGAGCGAAACGAGAAATTGTACGAAATATTTTACAAGGATTAATCCTTAAAAGTGGAGTGGATTGGGTGAATGACGAACATTTATTGAATTTGATACTTATTATGGAGAGGAAATCTAAGTTGAAACGTGAAAATGTTACCTATTCATTTTAGAAAAACGGAAATCATGTGATGTGTTATTATAAAAAACACGTAATGCCTTCTTTTAGTA